GAGCCTCCAGCCTGGTCCCGGGAAGAGGGGGAGGGCTGGGGGGCATCGGGTGGGTGGCTTGAGCCGTGCCAGGTGCAGGGTCTGCTAGCTGGGTGCTGGCAGGCTTGCACCTGGCACGGGCACCGTAGCCAGCCCGTGCCCCTTTAACGGGTCCGGGGCCGGGAGGGGGGCAGATGAGTTTCCCTGGTGTTGGCCAGAGTGGCCACCAGGGAAACCTGGGGAGGGCTAGCCTCCCACTAGTTCAAATTAATGGTCTACACAGCCCTTAATTCGAACTAGTGAGTTCGAACTAGGCTTAATCCTCGTAAAATGAGGATTACCTAGTTCGAACTAAGCCCTCCGTTAGTTCGAATTAAGTTCGAACTAGCGGAGCGCTAGTGTAGCGCCTATGAAAGTTAGTTCGAACTAACGTCCGTTAGTTCGAACTAACTTTGTAGTGTAGACATACCCATGGTGGTTAAGCACTGGAATAAATTGCCTAGGGAGGCTGAGGGATCTCTATCACTATAGATATTTAAGAGCAGGTTAGATAGACATCTCTCAGGAGTGATATAGATGGTGCTTGGTCCCGCTGTGTGGGCAGGAGACAGGACTTGATGACCTCCTGACGTCCCTTCCAGTTTTAGTAGTCTATGCATGCAGAATTCTACTGCTGTTATTGCCCTATTGCAGCAAGTGTAAATAAAAGTCTAAAACACTGAAATGGGAAGTGATTTCCATAATGTTAGAATTATAGCTCTGCCTTCTAGTGATTTTAAGCGGTATTCACCAAATGGTTTGCCGATTCTGATGTTAATGAATGGACTGGGCATCCAGTAATAAAAGTTGAGAACACCTGTCCTTTCGACTGGAGATTAGCTTCTGGCTTTCAAAAGACAGTAAGCAAAACATAGAATTGAATTTTCAGTGACCAGGTCAGTTTCACACATAGTGTAATGATGGTTGCAATGTTATATTTCCACTGCAGGGGCTTCACTTTGTTGAATTTGCAGAAAATGAAAAGCCAAGAACAGGAAGCTCCTTGGAAATATCAAGAAATGATGACAGTTCAGAGAGCAGTTGCAGACCTCCTCTTTCTCCCCAGCTGGAGGTATCTTAGAACAACTGTTGGTCTTGGAGATAGTTTGTGGAATTTGAATCCAAATTCAAAAGTGGCATATTTTAAATGTAACATACCTCTGTTGGGGGGAATCCTGGGATGTGAGTGTTAGAAGGTATAGGGAAAAGAATACAAAAAAGTATACACAATAGCCTAGTGTAAGGTTTAGGATGTTTGAAAATATAGTACAATCATCTGCTTGATTTGTGGATGTAGTAATTGCCAGTGCAGTCACATGTGTTTAGTTCAGTTTGCATCTTGCTGTGTCATTGTACTCCTACCGTGATCATGAGTACATTTGCATGTATAAATTAGACATACAGAAAGCATTTGCTGCTCTGCCACCATTAACATTTTTCATTGTATAACAAAATTCCAAATACTCTATATAAGTAATGAGAACATCCCAAAAGATGGGATTACTTAGCACTTATAACAAGGCTTATAACAATACTTAGCACTTATAACAATACGAATTACTTAGCACTTATAACAAGCCTTTTGCTCCATAGATCTCTAGACAATCAGGAACAAGAACAAGTTGGAGAAGAAAAAGCTAGTTAAGTAATTGAATCTGAGTGGTTGAATAGGGAACAATTAGTTTTTTAAAAATCTGTCGCTCTCAGCCTTCTTTAATCAGAAAGAAACTACAAGAACGTTGTGCTTTTTTAAGGTTCTTGACGATCAGTGTGATATTCCTGGAGGGATTCATTCCCAGTTCCATGACATCATCTCAGAAATCAACAAACCCAGCCCTTCTTATGAGCTAGTTATTGCCAACAGACTGTATGGAGAACAGACATTCCAGTTTCTTCAGGTAAGGTGCACTGAGATGGCCATTAATGGACTGTAACATTGTGGGACCGACAGAGATGTACAACATGAGCTCAGCTCAGGTGAGGTGGTCCAATTTTCTAATGACTGAGATAGGACTTGTATCCATTTATACAAGGGGTGGAGTTGATCCCATAGACCAGTGGTCTCCAACCTTTTTACACCCAAGATCACTTTTTAAATCTCAGAACAGGAGAAGATCTACTGCCCCACCCCTTCCTTGAAGCCCCGCCCCTTCCTTGAAGCCCCGCCCCTTCCTTGATCCTCCTCTCCATCACTTGCTATCCCCAATCCTTATACTGCT